GGCAATGTACTTACTTGCACAAGCACAAGGACCCAGCTCAGTTCTCATCACCCACATAAAAAGTGCATTTATCAGCATGCATTTACGGCACCAGCTGTTGGGGGCTGGAGGCAGGTGTGGATCCCTGGGCTTCATTGACCAGCCAAGCCTAGGGCCATGAGAGACCCCATCTAGAGAATCAAGGGGTTGGCTCTTAAGGAGTAAGACCTGAGGTTGACTCCTGGCCTTCATACGTACTTACACACTTATACATACACATGCACCTGTATACACATGCACTTTCCCACACACTTGCATCTGCACTTACACAAACTTGCACACACACATACACACACACACACATATTCACACAAATCCACTTGTTTTGCCATCATAGGATACGCCAACAAAATGTTACGTATCATTTTCTTCAGGAGACAAAGAATGTTGAAGTGTTTGCACTAGGAGACAGAGAACACAGCAGATATTCCCCAACGTGTTTATTCACTGCTATGGAGCTGGGTCCTTGTCAAATCATTTCAAATGAAGTTAATAGATTATGGTTGTGAAAATTATTGGAATTTATTAATAAAACTATCCTTTGTTAGAGAATTTGCTAGAGAAACTCATCAGTGTGTGTGTGTGTTAGTGTGTGTGTGTATGTGGTGGGGTGTTGGGTTATTTTATTTTCAGTCCAGAGGACAAAGGGTTTAAGCCAGAGGTACTCAAGCTGAGGAGCATAACCCCTTTGGGGGTCACATATCAAGTATCCTGGATATCAGATATTTACATTATGATTCATAACAGTAGCAGAATTAGTTATGAAGCAGCAGTGAAATAGTTGGGATCACCACAGCACAAGGAACTGTATTAAAGTGCTGCAGCATTAGGAAGGCTGAGAACCACTGGTTTAAATCATGTCTCTACCTTTTCCCTGTAGAAATGTCACATGCTGTCAGCCTTGGTGTCACAGGACTCTAATTCTAGCTACTCGGGAGGCTGGTGCAGGACAATTGCAAGTTCAGGGCCAACCTGAGTTCCAGAGTGAGTTCAACACTCTCCTGCGCGAGTTAGTGAGGTCCTATGTCAAAATAAAAAGTGAAGAGAGGGTTGGGAGATACTTCAATGGCAGAGTGCTTGTCTAGCTTGTGCAATGCTCTACAGTCAATCCCTAATAGCAAAAAAAAAAAAAAAAAAAAGGCAAGTCATGCTAAATATAGAATGCAATGTTGCACAAGTGTAAATGCTTTACCACTTAAGAACAGCATACAGTTAAGAACTTTCCGGAAGAAGAGATAATGATGACAACTCAATGGGGAAAGTGCTTGCCTTGCAAGCATAGAAACTAAGTTTCATCCCCAGAACTCAAGTTTAGAAGAAGAGGAAGAGCAAGAGAAGGACAAGGAGGAGGGAGGAGGAGGCCTGGAGAGATGACTTAGTGCTTAAGAGCACTTGCTGTTCTTCCAGATCATTCATTCTGTTTCCAGAACCCATGTTAGGAGGCTCATAATTGCTTAGAACTCCTCTTCGGGCCTTTATGTACACACCACACACACAGACACACACACAGACACACACACAGAGTTCCAATTTTCTGTGATAAACACAATAACCAAAATCAACTTGGGGAGGAAAGAGTTTATTTCGTTTTACAGCTTATAGCCCATCATGAAAGAAAGTCAGGGCAGGAACTCAAGGCAGAAAACACTGTACAGGGAGAGTCAAATAATAAAGTTAGCCACTCCTGCTAACTTATTTAAAACATTGGAAAGGATGGCTAGAAAGCTGGCTCTCGGTAGTAAGCAGTGCATAAATGCCTGTAACTCTAGCTCCAAGGGTTTTGATCCCTTCTTCTGGACTCCAAGGACAACTACACTCATGTATTCAAACCCACGCAGAGATACATATATAACACATTTTATTTTTCTATCTAAAACACAGTGAAGGCATTTACAACAGGGGACCTGTGTCATCAACTTCCTGCATCCTGTCTTGATGCCTTTGACATGGGCTACTTTACAACCAGATTTCTAAGTTCACCTGTCCATAAGCAGCAGTCCATATTTGACCTCACATAGCTACAATTCTCAATATATACCAAGTCAGTGATGGACAGTTTTAGGGTTATAAAAATAAGATCTTTGGAGTGATATGCGTGGGCACTTTAGATATGTTTTATTGTGCTAGAACAGGAGCTCCAGCCCGGGAGGGTGGTCTTCTCAGCACCTTACTTTGCATATTCAGATTTCTCCCCTTGTCTGGGGACTCCAGAGCTTCCTCTTCTTTTCAGTTCCCTTTGTCCTGGAGCTCACTTCTGAGGCCAGACTGGTTGGTTAGAAAGCCCCAGGGATCTGCCTGTTATCTGCCTCCTCAGCAAGGGAACACAAGCACACCACCACCACTTCTGGAATTTTCCAGTGGATTCTGAAGATCATCCTCTGATTCTCATGCTTGCGAAACAATCACTTTACAGCCTGGGCTCAGTCGTTAGTCAGGGCATGAAGTTCTTAAGGCTCTTCCTACCTCTTGGGTGCTCTGCGTCCAGAGAAGCCATTGTTCTGCCTGGAAAAACCCCCAAAGTACACAGTTTGAAGTTCTTCAAGGACAAACATTTACTTCATATTGTTTTTTTAAGACTTCGGGAAAAGGAGCTGTATCAGTCAGGGTTCCCTAGAGTAACAGAACTTATAGATTGAATCTCTCTGTACAGATTCATTGGATTTATTGGAATGACTTACAGCTGCAGTCCAGCTAATCCAACAACAGCTGACTGTGATCAGATAGTTCAAGAATCCAGATCTTGCTCAGTTCCACAAGGTTGGATGTCTCGGCTAACCTTCAGTATACGCTGATGTCTCAGCATAGTCTGGAATGCCAGTGAAGAAATGGATGTGCTAGCACGGCAAGAGGACAGTCAGGCAGAAAACCAGAAACGTTCCTTCTTCTGTGTTTTATATAGAGTTCCAGCAGAAGGTGTGGCCCATACTAAAGGTGTGTCTTCCTGCCTCAGGATCTAGGTCAAAGGCTTGTGTCTTACTGACTCAAAGGTCTGGACTAGAAGTGAATTCAGATCAAGTAGAAAATCTCTCACAGGTGTGCTCTCCATTTCTGGATTGTAGTTCATTCCAGACTGCAGTGGTTTGAATAGGAATGGCCCCCATAGATACATCTGAATGCCTGACCATAGGGAATGGCACTATTTGGAGGTGTGGCCTCATTGGAAGAAGTGTGACATGGTAGAGGCAGGCTTTGAGGTCTCCTATGTTCAAGCTACACGAAGTGTGGCACACAATCTCCTTCTGCTGCCTACGAATCAAGATGTAGAACTCTTGACTCCTCCGGGACCAAATCTGCTTGCATACTTCCATGCTTCTCGCCATGATGATAGTGGACTAAACCCCTGAAACTGTAAGCCAGCCCTATTAAATGCTTAATTAATTGCTGTGGTCATGGTGCCTCTTCACAGCAATGAAACATTAACTAAGGCACAGATGTAGTAAAGTTGAGAATCAAGAATAGCAATCATAGGAGCTGGAGAGATGGCTTGGTGGTTAAGAGCTCTTACTGCTCATGCAGGGGACATAGGTTTGATTCTCAGTGGGTAGCTCATAACTATCTGTAATTCAAGTTCCAGGGGATCTCATACCCTTGAACTTCTTCTAGTAGGAGGCATGCACATGGTGTGTAGGCATACATACAGGCACAACAGTCATACACCTAAAACAAAATAAATAAATCTAAGAAAATAATCAAAATTATCAGAGATATTAAGAGGAGGAAGGGAAGCAAAGCACAAATCCCTTTGATCGTGAGAAGCATATGCTTTTACAGTCTTCTACCCTGCTTCAGTAAAGATCTCCCCCATGGCAAAAGACTTCATGCCACCTCTGCCTCCATTTCCTACAAAATGAAAATAAGCTGATAAGCCATTCTGGAGCAGGTACTGGGCTGGTGGGAAAAGTCAGTCCTTCTGTGTAGCTGCCATCCTCTGGGACAGACAAGGAGCAAATTACGTAAGTGGTACAGCAGCTAATAGTAGGTGATCACAGGACTCTGCGTTCTGCAAAATATGTCTCCCAGAAAGACATAGAGCATCAGGACAAGATCGGGTGGGGATTATTTTTCCCCAAACAAATTTTCCTGGAAATAAGATGCAGAGACTAGGAGGGAACAGATGTAAATAATCTCTCTTTGGGTTCTCTGACCTCGAATCCACATATTGATAGCTAGCACAAAACTGTATGAAACATGGCCGGAACTGGGCCTTAGCTGTACAAAACATACCCGAGTGGGGATGGACTCGGGAGCTGGAAGCTTCCCAAGCCAGGCTTGGAGAGAAGCAAACTCACAGCATTTTATATCCAGGAAAGAAAAGGAAGGGAGCTGGAATGCAAGACATCCTCATGATGCAGGAAAATAGCTTTTAAGAAGCTTCTTGAAGGCCAAGAAACGTGAGAGGGGGGAAAAAAAGGTTTTGAAGGAGAGGAATAGGAATGGTTAAAGAACACTTGTGATATAACAGAGTTGAAGGGAGAAATACTAGAAGAAGGGAAGGGACGGGGCAAGGAGATGGTAGAGAAAAGAAGGGAGGGTCTAAGTAAAACTAAGGATATATGAAAATGTCATAAGGAAACATGGGGCGGGGGAAGGAACTGGTCATTGTGGCACATGCCTATAATCTTAGTGCATGGGGTGGGGAAGCAGGAAGATCAGAAGTACAATGTCATCCTTAGGTATAAAGCAAGTAAGCCATTGTAAGACATTGTCTCAAGAAAAAAAAGGACCAATAAAAAAAACATTTTAAGAAAAAAAAACTTAGAAGAGAAGGAAAGATTTGAAAAAGTTGAAGAAAAAAGAAAGAGAAACATTTTAAAAAGAAGGAAAAAGTAGCTTAGGAGGAATCTTCTGCTCAGTACCGCCCCTAAGGGGAGGATCGCTTTCTCAGGATCCAGCCCCGCCCAGCAGTGCTGGCTGCCCTTGCGCAGGCGCACTGGTTCCTCACTTCATCCCTACTGCGCATGCTCCGCGGGGCCACGGTTCTCCGACCGGCTGTGGTAGTGTCAGCTCCTGTGAAGGAAGTTTCCGCTTTGCACCCCACCCGGACCACAGTTCGGTTGTAGGGCCAGCTCCCTCCGGCTCCACATCAGCGCATCCGGATCATGGGGTTATCCAAGGGGCCGGAGGGCCAGGGGCTCCCGGAGGTGAGGACCTCTGTCCCTGACACCCTGGGGTTGCTGGGGAGAGAGGGCCGAGCCCGGGGCGGCGGGCAGAGACCAGCCTGGGGTGGCGGGGACACTGTCTGCGGTTGCTCAGGTGTGTCTGCCCCAAGGCGGGCCCTAAGTACCCTGGAGGGGCAGCTGACTTGTCCCCCGGCGTGCCAGGGTGCATCGTGTTGCTGGGTGCAAACTTAGGGTTCCTGGGTCCTCTGGGGACAGAGGAAACATCCAGATCCCTGCCCAGATGCAACACATCACGAGGTCCCCGGGAATTCCTATCTCGGGCTGTCTGGAGGCCCCTCACGTTGCGAGACTGGCTCCCCCAGGCCAAGGCTGTGCGCTCAGGAGTCTCAGCAGTCACGAGACGAGAGCGGTGGGACTGCCCTGGCTCCCGGTGTGCAGAGGGCGGTGACCTTGGGACGCACACCTTCTGCAGGGTCCAGGTGGACAGCCTCTCATTCCTTTTTGTCAGGAAGGAACGCCACCTCCCCGGCTTGTAGCCTCCTGCCCCTCCCCCCGTCCCACGGGCCGGGGAGGATGAAGGAAGTTTGGGAGCTCTGCGCACATTGGGGTGATGACAGAGTTGAGAACACCCTCTCCTGTGGTGCTCTGTGCCGGGACAGGAACATTGCTACTTGTTTTAAGGAGGGAGGACCTTTCCAGGAATGGTTTAGTCAAGTACTCAGCCAGTACTCATTTGATCCTACTGACAGGACTTCCACGTTGGCTGGGAAGAAAAGTGCAACCACCCTCTAACGGTGAGAGGTTGGCTGTGAGATTTTCAGTTGTCCTCCTAGTCGTTTTTCACTCAAAGCTCTCAGCTCAGTGAAGAGTCCCAGTTTCCAGAGAGAATTAGGGAACCCCTCTAGGGCACCTGGATCCCTTTCTAAGGCGGGGAGGCAGGCTTTGGCAGAGGTGCGCCTATTTCTTTGACACTTTGCCTAGTGCTCATTCATATTCAGCTGCACCCATCTTGCCTCCCTGTGCCCCTCACAAATCCTGTTACATCTTCATCCTACTTATTACAGAGTCACAGTGTTCAGTGTCCAGGTGACAGAATAGGAGAGGAAGGACTGATGTGGCCCTGCAGTAGGTAAAGTTTCATGGGGTCTGGGCTGTAAAGTTCAGGTTTTCTTTGCCATATAAAAACATTCTCTCTCTCTCTCTCTCTCTCTCTCTCTCTCTCTCTCTCTCTCTCTCTCTTTCTTTCCCTCTCTTTCCCTCCCTCCTTCCCTCTCTCCCTCCCTCCCTCCCTTCTTCCCTCCATCCCTCCCTTCCTCCCTCCCCTTCTTTCTCTGTCTGTTTCTCTGTGTCTCTGGGATTACAATTGCACAGTACCATGTCTGACATGTTTCTATGGGTCGTGGAGATTAAACTCTGATCCTCATGTAGGTGGGGCAAGCGCTGGGCAATTGCTGCAGCTTTAAGGCTTTTCTGGGTCGTCTGCTATGGAGTCCTGTTCAGGCTTCCAGTTCTACCCTAAATCCTTTGAACTAGTGGAAGTTTTTCTAAAAGTAATAAACATAATATTTTCATGAGTCTGTTTGACTTCTCATAGAGTACCAGGAGGCTGGGTCTGATTTGTTACTCTTTTCTAGCTTGGTCTACATAATGAGCTCCGGACCAGCTGGGGATAGGGGGACGGGGGATGGGTACACATAGTGAGACCTTGTCTCAAAAAAGAAAATGCAAAACACAGGAAAAACAAAATGATTGCCTTATATAGTGTGCACATAGATACAAATTTAATAAAAGATGCAAAGGGTTTAGGGGAGAGTGTGTATGTACGCCTAAGCTCTGGGTTCTTGTCCCCAGCACAGTGAACAGTGACGAGTGGTGCCTGGGGACACAGTACTGGGGAAGCAAGAGATTCAGAAATGCAAGGTCATGGTCCACATACAGCAATGGAGTCCAACCCTGGGCACATGAGACCCTGTCTTAAAAGACAAAACAAAATTACTGTCACCTGGTTCTCACTAACCCAGTTAGCTCATGCTGTTCGGTTTTTAAACCCCTTTGTGTGTGTATGAAAGAAACCGATAGCTAGACCCTTCTTCCGGCTTCTGTGAGCTACAGTGCAGGACAGATGGGAGTTTATTTGGCCTTGTTTAAGAACTCCCAGTGATCCTTCTTCATCAGTGCTCTGGTTATGGATTTATTTACCTTTACTTACATATATGTCCACATGTCTGCATGTGCGAGTGAATCTGGGTACCTGTGAAGACCAGACAAGCCTGCCAGATACCCTGGGATGAGTTTAGGTGGTGGTGAGCTGCCTGGTGTGGGCTTGGGGAACTGAACCTGGATCCTCTAGAAGAACAGTATGTTCCCTGAACCACTGAACCGTCTCTCCAGCCTCCAGTGTTCTGGGTTTAGTAACTGGATATATTAACCAGTGTGGTGGGCATTATGGTTTCAAGAAAGGATTTTGTTGTTGTTGTTGTTTTTGTTTTCTGCATATGAACACATGGCCCCTTTCCATTCTGTGTAAACATGTTAAGTGCAAAGTGAATTTGGAATCAAACATCCCCATACAGTGGCTTGTACCAAAAACTTATTTCATTGGTTCTATTGCAAAAAGTACAGTTCTACATTCTGGATGGGAGGCCTCAGTTACACACCTGCATAGGCAGCCCGTGGGAATGCTGCACACAATGAGGTGAGGTGGGAGAGGGTCCTTCTGGGATAAATTGTCCTCTTGGCAGTATCTTTATGATACATGCTGGCTGAATACTTGAAGGATTCCTATTTTATTTACTTGTGTATGTGTGTTTACATGCAATTGAACCCAGACTTTACTAGTTGGGCTAGTCTAGCTGTGAATATCCAGCCTGTAGTTTTTGCTGTCCAAGTGCTGGACTCACAGGTGGGCCACCATGCCTGCCCAGGATTTACATGGGTTCTAGGGATCTGAACTCTTGTCCTCATGATAATATGGTCATCAGACTCTTGGCGATGCAACCATGGAAGGATACATTTTGTTTCCGTTCAGTGGAGATGGCCTTTACTAGTTACACACATCCTTTTTGTTCTAGGTGGAAACGAGAGAAGATGAAGAACAGAACGTCAAGCTGACTGAAATCCTGGAGCTCTTGGTTGCAGCTGGCTATTTCAGAGCAAGAATTAAAGGCTTGTCTCCTTTCGACAAGGTAAGAGAAAGCCTCGCTAGCCACTACGCCATTTCTTTGAAGGACTGCACAGTTAAGCAAGGTAGCAGAGGATGAAGTGATTGTGTTTTCACTTCCTCTGTACCCATGATTCCATTCTGCCCAATCCAGATTCCTTGGGGACGTACTCGGATTTCCTGTTCAAAGAGAATTCTAAGTCAGTAGGTGCAGTCGGATTTCTTTACTGCGCACAGTATTTTAGGAAATGCAAACGAGCAAAAGTGTATTTTCTAAGGGCAGGGAGACTGCTCAGTCGGTAAAGGGCATGCTGGGAAAGCATGGGGACCTGACTTGGATCCACAGAACCCATGTGTTTTTTTTTTTTTTTTTTTTTTTTTTTTTAAATAAGAGAAAGAAAGCAAAGGAAAACAAAGCCAGGCATATGGCATGCTTGTGATTTCAGTACTGGGGAAGTGGAGACAGGCAGATTCCTGGAGCTCCCTGGCCAGCCTAGCCAAACTGATGAGTTCCAGGACAGTGAGATCTTGTGTCAACTAGATGGATGGATAACTCCCAAGGAGTGACACCCAGTGCGGACCTGTGGCCTCTACATGTACGCATTTGTCTGTACGGACACATATACACACATACAAGAAATTGTTTCTCTCTTAAGGAACATATACTTTGGGGAGAGTCATAAAGTATGTGGAGGAAATTATCTGGGTTCATAGTTATCCTCAACCACGTGTTTAGGTACAATGGCAGTTATCTTGTAGGTGGCAACTGCTGGTTTGCAGGGGGAGCTTCACCATGGGACGGAATATTTTATGTCTTTTTAACTTTTGTTTTAAAGATTTATTTTTAGTTAAGTGTATATGTGTGTTGGTGTGTACAGGCGAGCATTGGATCTCCTGGAGACGGAGTTAGAGTGGGGACCAAACTCGAGTTCTCTGCAGGAGCAACATGCACTTTTAACCGCTGAGCCATCTCTCCAGCCCTGGGGTGGCGTCTTTTTAACTTAGCAGAGCTATGAACAGTTATCGTGCACAGGACCTAGTATTAGGTATTGAGGGCTGAGATAAACAATAAGAGATAAACAATAGCCCTTCACTCAGAGAGCTCCACCGTCATAGAGAAGAGTGACAAGCCAATCAACAGGCATGGCCTAAATTATATGGTGCACAGTAGACTGTGTTCCTCAAGCATCTGGGAGCAATGGTAAGGGAGGCCAGGCAAGCTTTGGAAACAATGCTGCAGGTTCGGGGTACCACCCTCCTCTTTGGTTGTGGCAGACTCCCCAAGGGATGGTTTATAAGAAGCATGTCCGGACCTCCTCTGTTGAGCTTCTGCTTGGGTGGGTCTGGGCTAGCGACCTGGAAATGTATATTTTATTGTACATCTCAGCTATTAAATAAAGACCAGAAAATGTCAGCCTTGCTGACCACATGGCTAGTTGGTAAAAGACATAATCTCTCTCGATCTGGTACATGTCAGAAACTGGGCTAAGAAATCTCTCAGCTGGGGCTGGAGAGATGGCTCAGCTGTCTGCTCTTCCAGAGGTCCTGACTTTAGTCCCCAGCAACCACATGGTAGCTCGCAACAATCTATAGTGGGATCTGATGCCCTCCCTCTTCTAGTATGTATGTGTACATATAGATAGAACATTCACATACATCAGATATATCTTTAAAAAAAAAAGAAATCTCTCAGGTGATGACTCAGTGGGTTGTGCAAGCATGAAGATCTGAGTTTAAGCTCCTTATAAAAAGCCAGCTGTGGTAGTAGGCAGTGGTAATCCTAGCACTGAGGAGATGCTCCAGGGTCAGTGAGAGACCTTATCTCAAAAACCAGGGCATAGAACAATAGAAGAAGACACCCGGTGTGTCTCTCTGGCCTCCACATGCCCATGAACAGGCACACACACCCATGCACACACAAACACACACACACACACATGCACACACGCACATCTATCACATAAAAAAGAAATCCAAGCACATAATATCTGACCCTTGCCTAGGAAGATCAATGAGTGGTTAGACTGTTTCTGTAGGTGTTGGTGGGTTGTGCAGGACAGTTGATGGAAGAAATGAAAGCCACTGCAGGATGGGTTCAGGCTTCTCAACAGCAAAGAGGACAGGACAGCCTCTGTGGGACTGAACCTGGACAGCCTCCGTGAAGCTCTTTTTATTGCTACACAAAAGGCACCTTTAGCAAGTCAATTTCGAATACCAAAACATCTTACCTGACCTATGGGCTATCTTAAAAGAGCTATCACCTAAGCAGCTCTCAGGAAGTCTGTGGGAGACTTCCTGGTTTGCCAGGCCTGTCTCCAGAGTAAGATATGTAAAGGCTCTTAAGAAACCTTCAAGGGAACAACCCCATCAAATCTCAGATAACAATCCCAGACAAGAGGCTACTTCAAAGCCTAGGTACCATCACTTCAGATTCCTGTCAGATACAACCGTATCACTAAAATACCGTAACTTGTTTCATGATTACAGTCAGCCCCTCCCTCACACTGGTAGAACTTTGAATGCTAAGGAACCAGCCAGGGCCAGTAGTAGCTTCTGTAGCAGCCAGCATAGGGATGGACATTGCCATCACTGCAGAGGGATTTATGACGGTGCTAGCTGATGAGCGGCAGGTAAGGAAGACACACACTCTTTACAGACACATTATTATATGGGAGGGCTGCAGAGAGAGCTGTCAGTGAAGTTATACTTGTATAACAACATAGGTTCAGTCCCCAGAATCCATATAAAAATCTGGGTGTTGTAGTGAGCACTTGTCATCTTAGCACCAGGGACACGGAGACAGGAAAATCCATGGGGCTCTCTGGCCAGCCACCAAATCAAATCAGCAAGTGAACTTGAGACCAGTGAGAGACCCTGCCTCAACAAACAAGGTGTACAGCATGGGATTGATAGCAGATTTGACATCTTGCCTCCACATGCACGCGCGCACACATACACACACACACACACACACACAAACACACGTGCGCACTCCCCCCCAGATATTTATGGTTTTGTGTGCTTATTGAGTGTACAAACTGCTTAGGAATTGAATTTCCTTCCTGCTGCCCCTTCTTTGAGGGGCTCATGAGGCACAGCATTCTCCTTTCTTACAGGTAGTAGGAGGAATGACGTGGTGTATCACCACGTGCAGCTTTGACGTGGATGTGGACTTGCTCTTTCAGGAAAACTCTACAATTGGTCAGAAAATGTAAGTTACTAGGGCTTGCCGTAGACGAACCTAATGAGGGGAGGAGGGCTTTATGGTGGAGATGGTGCTCCCGTGTTTATATACACATTCCCTTTTATTTCTCATGCTATAAGGTTGTATTTAATGATGTGTGTGTGTGTGTGTGTGTGTGTGTGTCTGTGTGTCTGTGTGTGTCTGTGTCTGTATAGGCCAGGAGATGACCTTAGCTCTTGTTCTTCAGGCACTGTCTACTTTTTTTTTTTTAAGATGTCTCTCACTGGCTTGGAACTTGCCAAATAGGATAGGTGGACAGGCCACTGTGCCCCAGGGGACTGCCAGGTGCTGGACTGCCTTCCACCTCTCCAGTGCTGAGATTACAGTGCTTCAGCACCATGCTTGTCTGACTCCTACCCTCATTTAATGTGGAGTGGGTGTGTGTCTATGTATTACAACTCAGGTCCTTGGGCTTCTGAGCCATCTCCCCAGCCCAAGTGTCTGTCTTTTAACCCATTAACATCATGTAGTCTCTCCAGATTTCTAAGTACTTAGTGTTGACTTTTTAATGTCTCTATTTGGTCTTATACCCCCAACTACCATCCTAACATTACCTTCAAAATGGTAAGGGCATAATTTATGATAACAGTTAAGTAGATTCTTAAATGTATAGTCATTTTTATATTAATTAGTAAATAAGGGATAGGATCAGGAAAAAAAGAGAAATACAATCTTCTTGATCTAGTTATACTTAAAACAAGGGTGTGTGTGTGTGTGTGTGTGTTGCGTTGTGTTGTGTAGATCAGAAGATAACTTGAGGGAGTCAGTTTCCCCCTCCAGCATTTAGGTCCCTGGGATTGAACTCAGGTTGTGAGGCCTGGCAGCCAGCTTCTTAACCCACCGAGCTATCTTGCCAGTATAAATGGTAATTTTTAAAGGAGAAAACTGGAAGTATCAGGTGAAAAGAGTCTTTATTAATCCTTTCAATAAATATTTTTCAAGTCTGTCACTAATGCCGCTCAGACATTATTCAGGTATTTTGGAAACATTAAGGCGAAGTGTCCTGCCTTCATAAAGCTTATAATTAGCATGGCACAGACATCAAATACGTAGAATGTGGCTGAAGACAGCTTAGAGGTTACATATTTGCTCTTGCACAGAGGATCAGAATTCAGTCCTCAGCCCTGAGTTTGGGCAGCTCATAGCTATCTGTGTCTTAGTTATTTTTCTACTGCTGGTAAAATACCATGACCAAACATTTCTACATCACAGTCCATCTTAGAAGGAAGTTGGGGCAAGAGCCTGGAGGCAGGAACTGGAGGGGTGATGCTTGCTGGCTTGCTCTCCAAGGCTTTCATATACAGCCCAGGACCACCAGCCCTGGGGCAGCACCGTCCACTATGGGCTTTCCTCTCATTCATGTCTAATTAAGAAAACAGACCACAGGCTTTTTCAAGGGTCATTCTAGTGGCTGTGTTTTCTCAATTGATGTTCCCTCTTCCCAGATGACTACATGACTACAGCTTGTGTCAAGCTGACATAAAACTAGCTAGCACGGCCATGAGTCCAGCTCCAGGGGATCCAGTGCCCTTTCCTGGCCACACCCATAATTAAAAATTAAAAAGTGAATCTTGAAGGAGTGAGATATATATATATATATATATACATATATATATATATATATATAAAAAAATATAAAAATTGCATAAGCACTGGGCATAGTTACAGCTGGGGCAGAGTGGGGGGGGGCACTGACAGGCACAGTTTTAGTGAGATGCAGGGGTCCTGTGGGGTTGCAGGCAGAGGGAACTACTTCCTAGCACTGTGTGTTCGTTTTATCATTTGCTCTCATGAATGCATGAGACAAGGATTCTTCTCCTTTTCTCCTCTCACCATGTGTGTGCACTTGGTGTGTGGGTACATGCCATAGCTTGCATGTGGAGTTGGACACAGATAAACGTTCCTTCTCTCCTACCATGTGGGTCCTAGAGATTGAACTCAGGTTGTCAGGTTTGGCTGCAATTCCCTTTATCCTCTGAGCCATCTTGCTGTCCCGGTTGTGTTTTAGGTCTGTCTGACCAGAGAGCTGGTGACTTGCTAGAAGTCCCAGAGATGGTAGGGCTGGGATTTAGATCCAGGACAAACCAACCATCATGGAGGAAGAAATAGTGCATCTAACACTTAAAACTTTAAAAGAGTCAGCTGGACGTGGAGGTGCATACCTGTAATCTAAGCATTCAGGAATCTGAGGCAGGAGGATTATAGTTTTGAGGCTATGCTTGGTTGTATAGCAAGGTCCTGTCTAAAAAGAATATACCCTTAAACTGTCAGATTAGTAATGACATACTAAAATCTCAAGCTAGAAAGTTTTCCTGATGATCTACATGTGTCCTTTGTATTTTTGATTTTGTTCTGTTGGTAGACACCATGATCAAAAACAGCTTAGGAGAGAAAAAAAAAAGAGTTTATTTGGTTTTCAGGTCCCAGTCTGTCTTTGAAGAAATCAGGGCAGCAGCTCGACTAGGAGCGGGGGCAGGATCCATGGCAGAAGCCTGCTCACTCACCCTCAGATTCATGCTTAGCTGACTTTCTTATACACCCCAGTGTGGTCTGCGTAGGGATGCTGCTGCCCACCATGGACTGGGTGCTCCTACAGCAATTAACAAGAGTCTTCAACTACACACACAGGCCAGCCTGCTCTGGGCAGTTCCTCAATTGAGGTCCTTCACTCAAATGACTCCAGGCTGTTTTAGGTTGACAAAGCTATTTAAGAAGTTCTGACTTTTCAGAAAAAGTTTTCCTGACTATTTAGGAAGTCTGAGTTCCTGAGCAGAGCAGAGAGTGGCTGGCGAATGTCTATAAGAAGTCTTCCTGCCTTCTCTTCCCCGTCCTCCCCATACTGTGCTTCCTTCCCTATTGCCTCCGCCATCAGGGTTAGTGCTGGCAGCCTCTCCTGCTTGTTGCTGGGACTGCCTGGACTTGGCTGTAGTTTCTGGGAGGCAGTTTTAAGAGGCTCATAAACCCCAAAATGACTTGCTATAACCTCCCCTCTGGGCATTTATGAATTGCTTGATTAAGCTGACTGTGAGGAGTGGCCAGGGAAAGGCAAGAAGGTTGGTTGTGCATTGTTGAGGTCTCAGCCACTGGATTTTCAGCTCCCAAATGGTACTTTTTCAAGCTCTAGCTCTGTGGCCCACTAAAGGGGGTGCTCTCCCTGCTGAAGAAGACGGCTCTAAAGAACAGTGTGGTGGTGTGCTGGTCATAAAGACACACAGAGCCAGGGCCTAAAACTTGTCTCCGTTGGATTAGTGTGGATTCTGGGTAAGTGAGTCCCAGCACCACATTACCAGGGCATGGTGGAGGCAGGAGGATCATCCTTAACTGTGAGATAGCCTGGGGTGCACAAGGCCTTGCCTTAAAAACAAAACAAAAAACAAAAAAAAAGAGGAAAGAAGGAAATAGCTGTGATACATGGTGAGGAGAATCCTTTCAGGGCCTTACATGCACGCAGCTGAATTGTGCTTCTCATGTCGGTCTACTGGGATGAACTCTCAGGTCTGTCAGTGTCACTCTGACCAGGCCGGGACGTCTTCAGAGTCCTGCCTAGACTTTAGAGATGTCTATAGAGTCACTCAATGTGTCCTGACTCTGCTTATTGTTTTCTTCTGGACAGAGCTCTATCGGAAAAGATTGTCTCCGTCCTCCCAAGGATGAAGTGTCCCCACCAGCTGGAGCCCCACCAGATCCAGGGCATGGATTTTATCCACATATTCCCTGTGGTGCAGGTGAGGGCTTCTGTGTGAAGTTTTGCCTCTAACTAGGAGTTCCTGGAACACACCCGGCTCTCACTCCAGTCTGGACCTGGGTGTAGTGTGGGATGGGTCTGGTGCAGCACCGCTGATAGGGATTCTTGCCATGATTCTCAAAAGGCAGCTGTGCTCCATGCACCACAGGTTCACTTTGGCTTCTGCTATGAGTCCATCAGTAGCTTTTGTTTTCCCTTTTCATATGTGCGTTGCTGTGTGCATATGTGTGTGTCTTGTCAGTGCACATGTGTTTGTGGGTACATGAGTGTGGAGGTGCACGTGTGGGGGCATGGAAGTGCATATGGTGTCTTGTGTATGTGGGCATGTACATGTGTGCTTGTATGTGAAAGCCAGAGGGCAGCATTGGCCATTGACCCTTAGGTGTCTACTTGCCAAGCAGACTAGACCAGTTGGCTAAGACTTGTCTTTTTCTTGTGTCCATACTGGATCTGAGTCTGTGAAAGAAGATCCTCTTTTCAAGGGCTAGAGAGTCATGGTGGAAAGTAGGTCTCTAACTGACATTAGTTTTGACAGTGGGAACTCTAGACCAAGTTCTCTGAGAGGCTCTGGGATGCAGCTTTTTTTTCCTTTTCTACCAGATCACACTAGGTGTGATCCATTAGAGTGCACACATCTCCACAGATGGAGTGGACAGAGGCATGAGAGATCAGAATGGAGGGGGGGTGGCTGGTGATCCACAGGAAGGTTGGGGTGAACCGAGACACATGCTGCATGGTTGATTCTTTTTGTTTGTTTTGGTTTTGGATTTTGGATTTTTGTTGTTATTGGGTTTGATTGTTTGTCTGAGACAGGGTTTCTCTGTGAAGCCTTGGCTGTTGTGGAACTCACACTGTAGACCAGGCTAGCCTCAAACTCAAGAGATCTGGCTGCCTCTACTTTTCAGATGCTGGGATTAAGGGTGTGGGCCACCACATCTGGCTACATGGTTGGGTCTCATCTTTGATTTGATATACCATAGAATCCTACCGGAAGGAAGTCATGCTGGATTCTGTAGATCAGCTTGGCTTGTAGGTGTATCTGTGAGGGATTGTCTTGATCGCTGTAGTTGATGTGGGAAGACACAGCCTGAACGAGAGCAGCACCATCCTGGTTTGGGTCCTGGACTCTAAGAGTAGAGAAAGCTGGCTGAGCACAGGCAGGCGTGCGTTCCTTTCTCTCTGTTCGTGTCTGAGATGTGACTAGGTGTGTGAAGTTCCTGACTTGACTTCCTCGCAGGACTGTAACCTGCGACTGTGAGATGAAATAATGTTTGCTTTTGCTCTAAGTCGCTTTTCTGTTCGGAGTTTCTAACACAGCAACAGAAAGAACCAGGACAAACACCATGTGATCCAGAGTCAGGGTTCTTGGTGGGTCTGAGGAGGCACCAGCATTGCCTGATGCTATCTCTTCTCCTGCTCTGCTTATGATTTCAGTCAGTGTCCAAGGTCTCTGGGGAGGGGTTGGTAGTAGAGTGGAAATAAATGGAAGCTGCTAATAACAAGAATGTTTTTCTTAGGACATACACAGCACAGGAATGTACCCTGTGCTGTATAGCATGTTATTTTCATGAAGTCAACCTATTTTGGGCAACTGCTTCCTAATCATGTCTTTTACTTGTGCTGGCTGCCTTTTAAACAGAATTTGAGTCCTTAAGATGATTCTGTAGGTAAAGCATCTGTGAAATCCCAATGACCTAAAATTTATTCCCAGAACCCACATAAGGGTGGAAGAAGAGAAGAGAAGGGTGGAAGAAGAAGAGAGTTGTTTTCCAACCACCACATGCAAGCCATGGACACATAATTAATTAAGAAAATGAACTGTAGAATTTCCCTATTCCTACCTTGTGGAGTGCCTCCCTATGGGTCACATATCTAAGCAGCTGGACCTGGTCAAGTTTGCTGTGCACTTGATAAGCCACCACTGTCCCCATACTGTTTTGAGGATGTAGGAGTTCCCTCTGAGGAGGGACTATCAACTCTAACAAATGGTTCTTTCTTCTGATGTGCTTGTGAATAACGGAAGGAATGAATGAAGAACAGACTCAGTACATACACTATCCACAGTGTATGAATGTGAGGGTATGTGTGTGAGTGTGTGTGTATGTTTGTATGATGTGCATATTTATATTTGTGTACACGTTGTGTAATAAAACATTTTCTGGAAAGATGTAACACATATGCCTATTCAGCTAAGATAGGGAGCCTACAACAGACCAGCGTGCACATATCACCGAAGTACAACCTGGTGAACCAGTGGGTTTTATCAGAGTTACTTATAGGAATCCATTTTTCGTGTGAGGGTTTACTTACAGGAGAAGAAATGACTCAAAGTCAGTGGGAACCTGGAGCCCACTGCACAGCCTGCTGGCTGCTCAGCAAGTTGGAGAGTGTCCTTTCCAGCTCTAAACCTCTTGTAGGCAGTTTCCCTGGTTTCTGCTTCTTCTAGGCTGCTGCTCTCTTCTCAGAGTCTTCTCTTTGGTTGTCTGCGAGTCTTCTTTGCAGGCTGGCTTCGTTCCTTCAGAGGGGGGTTCTCAGCTTTTATTACTTACTCTACCAGGGAGGGGTCTAGTGAATCTGGTCAATTTCAGGGACTTCCTGATGTTATTTTGATCTCGTTTACATTCCTGTTTTTAAAGAGCTTCCCTGTTTCAATCTTGGAGGAAAAAGCTACCCAGCAGCATGTGTGTTTTAATTACATGGTGTTTTTAAATTGGAAACTAAGAAGGGCAAAGCTAGCTGCTTCCAGATACCAGCCTCATGAGACTGGAACTTTAATAAAAATACCATGTTCAGTCACCTCCCAGTTGTAACTCCCAGCTTTATCTTGTAGCTGCAGATCATTGAGCAGAATAATGTAGTGTCTGTGTCAGGTTCTAAAAAGGTTGTACCTGAAAAGTTACAAGGATTCAAAGAACGTCCTATCCAGTGATTCCAGTGCCTCAGGCTCTGTACTGGGACATACTCTTCTATAGAACCACCTGAGGATTTCTTTCATCTAGCAGAAGAGGAGTTGTGCCAGGTGAAACAAATCATTGTCATCAGGATGGATACATGCCTGCCATCCCGCACTTGGGTTCATCCTCAACTACATAGTGAGTTTGAGGTTAGCCTGGGCTACGTGAGACTGTCTCAACAACAACAAAAGGAATGCCAGTGAACTTCCCCTTCTCTTGACAGAGAGACTGACAGGCCTATGGTTTTCAAATGACATGAGGTCTTGTTATCTCAGGTGCCCTGCTGGTTGCTCTAGTCACAGAGCAATGTGTGCTCCTGGTTTCTTCCCACCTGCACAGGTCAGTCGTGCCGACATGAATTCACAGGCTGCACAGTTTCACTGCAGTAGGAGTCCACTCCTGCCGTCTCATACCTCCTCACTTTCTCCTGCAGTGGCTGGTGAAACGAGCTATAGAAACAAAGGAAGAGATGGGCGACTACATCCGCTCCTACTCCATATCCCAGTTCCAGAAGACCTACAGCCTCCCCGAGGTCAGTGCTCTGCCCCGCTTCCTTCTGCTTGTTTATTAGGTATTGTCTGTCCTGGTATATTCAATTTCTTTCTCTTTCAGATGTATTTGGATTGTGTGCTTGTGTGTTTACATGGGTGCAAGTGCCTAAGGAGGCCAAAGACGTCAGGTTTCCTGGCACTAGAGTTGGGAGGTGACAAGCCACCTGACAATCATGCTAGGTAGCAAGCTTGTGTCCTCTGCAAGAGCAGTAAGAGCCCAGTCACTGAGCCACTGAGCTCTCTGGGGTTTGCTCTTTCACTTTATCCACGTATAAGGTGCATTGTAATCATATCTACTTCCATCTCCTTCCTGCCCACCCTGGGCAGTCTCTACCACGTTCCTTTCCCACACCCGTGCTCTCCTTCTGTACTGTCTGTTACTCAACTGGTTCAGCTAGTGCTGCTTTCTGGAGCATTGACTGATATTGCGCAGGTAGCCACCGATGGTACAGTGAGCTCCAGTGCAGAGCCACGTCATGTCATGTGTTCACAGGCCTCCCCTCCCCCTCCAGCTCTCACATTCTCTTTGTATTCCCCTCTGTGATGTCCCCTGAGCCATGCAGCAGTGGCATACATGCCCTATGTCCCTTTAAAGGTGAGCACTTGACAGGCACGTACTCAGTACCTTGCCTAGTCGTCATTTTCGGTATGAACCACTATCCACTACAAAAGCATCATCTCTGGCAAAACTTATGTACGCTCTTCCTTCCTGTTCTCTGGTGGTGTAAGAATGCACTGGAAGAGTCCTGGGTGCAGTGAGCACCCCACCTTCCCCTTGGCACCTCTGAGCAGCCTCATGGTTCTTTAGAACAGCTCTTTAGATGGCTGTTGAGGATAAATTTCTACAGTTTTACTAACTTGCAAAAGCTTGTGTGTATTATGTACATGGTAGGGGTGTGTGTGTGTGTGTGTGTGTGTGTGCACACGTGCCACATGTTGATATTAGGTACCTCCCTCAGTTATTCTCCTTTTGTTTTTCTTTTTGCTTTTCAGTCTTTTTTTTTATTTTTATTTTGTGAGGTATGGCTCCCTCTGAACTTAGAGCCAATAGGTTCATCTAGGCTGGCTGATCCTCCTGTCTCTACCTCCCAGTGCTGGGATTCCAAGTGTGTGCCACCTCGCCTGGCTCTTACACGTGGGTTCTGGGGTGTATCCAGGTCAGGTCTTTATGCTTGTAGGAGAAGTACTTTACTGACTGAGCCGTCTCCTCAGCCCACGGTTCTATTTTTGTAAAAAAAAACTTCTTAGGAGTCTGCTTGTGGATCACGTTTCCTGTGGGCGCAGTTAGTAGTAACTGCGACAAGTAAGAACAGCAAGCACTCAGATACTCTAGTGCACCGCTGCCTTCGTCTTCAGCCTGACAGGTGCGCCTTCATGTAGGTGGCGTTGCTCCTGTTTTTGCAGATGGCAGAGCTGAGGCTTACAGTTGAAGTTACATTTAGTGCTTTTGAGGACTGGCCATGAGGGTGTTTGTCTCAGTCAGTGCTGTCTCCATGGCCTCGTTTTCTCTTACTAACTGTAAGGCTCTGTCAGCATTATTTGCAGAGGTCCTAGCTTTTTCCCATGGGAGATTAATAAGAAAATTGAGAGCTGGGAAAACAGCTCAATTGGTAGCACCTGGCGTTCGAGCCAAAGGTACTGGATTTGATTCCTGAGTAGACATTTTAAAAGCTAGGTTGCAATACCAGCACTGGGGAGGTAGAGACAGGCATGTCCTTAGGGTTCCCGGGCTAGCCAGCTTCGCTTACTTGGCCAGCTTCAGGGCAGTGAGAGGCTGTCTCTAGCTGACAGCACCTGAAGAAGAACAATGTTGGCTGTCTTCTTGCCGACACATGCATGCACACACATATGGACCTGTACACATGCAGACATGCACATGCCTAAACACAGATTTTTAAAAAGCTCATTTGGACCTCTCTATGCACAGCAGTGATGAACAACTGTTTGATAAGGGAGGCCTGTATGTGCAGATGATTTTCGTCCTTAGTAGAATTGGTTGAGTTCCTGTGTTCTGTCTTACAGGATGATGACTTCATAAAGAGAAAAGACAAGGCCATCAAGATGGTTGTTGACCTCTCAGTAAGTCCTTGGCCCTGTGCCTCTGCCCCAGCACTGTATAGACTTCAAACATCCCTTATAGAAGTCGCACGTCCCCCAGGAGCTGGCAGCCAAGAGTGTATGCTAGCATCCCTGCCTACCTTACACCTAGCACCAGGACACAGGAGCCCACTGCTGTGCCCCAAGTCCTTAGTTCCAGTTTTAAGGGAGAAAAATCAGAATGTAAAGTGTAGTCCCCTTCTCACACCAGTGGCCAGAGTAACGTCACAGCTCTAGAGAATGAAGAACTATAGATGGCGAGGGCAACTCACTGCCCCACCCGCTCCCCATGATGGCTCTGGGAAGACAGAGTAGCTTTGAGCTTACGCAGGAAGGCCACCATATGTGGTGTGTTCTGGTCACTGGAGTCAGTACACATGAGCTGTTTCCCCAGTGGGGGTGGGGAGCTTTGTTAAGATGCTTCCAGCCAGAGCCAGGAGACTACAGCCGCTGTCCCTGAGCTGAAGAGAATAAAGCCTCTCTGTGGCTGATGAACTATCTCTGTCTTCTAGAAGCAGCGTACAGCTCACTGTGTGTCTAGCTTATGATATCATCGTGTCATAGCGCATCTAATATTCTACTCAATCTCACTTGCAAGGACTCAGCCATAGATAGAGGAGAGGACAAGCCTGGCTGCTAGGCCTCACCTTTCACCTTGTTTAAGATGGTGTATTTTGGTTAGTTTTTGGCTGCATACAGCAGGCCTGAGAGTTTCTGGTGATTCTCCTGTCTGCACTGCTGGTCTCCCTGTAGCAGTGCTAAGATTAACGGTGCTCAAATGATACATCTGTTTTGTTTTCTTTAAATGTAACTTCTAGGGGTGTAAATTCAGGTCCTTGTGCTTCCATGGCAGGTGTCTCTATCCAGAGTCCTTACCGCAGCTAAGCTACTTCTTTTGGTGTTTAAGTTAGCGCTTGTTAATTAACAAGTCACCCAGCTTAAATATCAACTGTGCATTGAACACAGACGACAGGATTGCAGTAAGATTAGAAGTTGAGTTTGCCTGGCTCATATGGCTTTGTGAGCTAGCTCAGAAATCTCTTCAGAACAATAATTCTAGACATGAATTTGCATTGTCTGACAGTGATGACACTGAAAAGAGCAGGCCACTTGATGGTAGCAGACATGAGGAACTCAAGTGCCACAGCCTGTACCCCTTTTCCTCCTCTGTGTTGTCAGCTCCATTCCGCTTTGAAGTGGCAAGTGAGAGAAAATCCTTTAGAGTTTTGTTTTTGAGACAAAGTTTTTCCGTGAGCACCTTGAAATTGTGGTAGTCCTCCAGCCTCAGCCTCCCAAGTTCCAGGATTACAGGTGTGCACCACCATACCCAGCTTAGCTATACAATTTGGTACAGATTCATGGAGCCTGGAGGTGGCATCTGTGCTGACCCCGTGAGAAGACAATAGTGTACGAGGGACAGAGCTGCCCATGGGAAATCAGGCAGGGTTGGAGCTGTGTCTGGAGAAACATTCATGAAGGAGTGCTGTCTGTCATCTCAGCGTTTGTCACTTAGAATCCAGGGGCTTCACTTGGTTTGATGTTTTATTAATGTGAAATATTAGAAAGGAAGGAAAGAAGTTGTAAGTTACAGTTGTCTGCTTTGGGAACATGGTGTAGCATTTGGTGTAAGCACCCATGGAGCCCTGGTGAGTGGGAAACAGATTTATGTACAGCTCCTAGACTGAAGAGGGTCTGTTAAAGATGCCACAGTGGTCAGCTTTGATTGTCAATCTGATACAACTTAGAATCACCTAGGAAGGCAGTCTCAATGAGGGATTGTCTAGAACAGGTTGGCCTATAGTGGATTGCCTTATTTATTAATTGATGTGGGAAGTTCCAGCCCACTGTGGGCAGCACCATTCTCTAGAAGGGCTTCTGAACTGTGTAAGAGCGGAGAACATGAGCTGAACACAAGCAAATGAGGTGCACCACTCATTTCTCTCTGCTTGGAAGTGATGTGGTCAGTTGTCTCATACCTGCTATGACCTCCCTGCCTGGCAGACCATAATCCAGAACAATGGGCTAAAATATCCCTTCCTTCCCTAAGCACCTTTTGTCAGAGTGTTTTAATAACAGTGACAGAAAGGAAACTAGACCAGTTATGCTAGGCTGTGGGAATGAACGACTTAAGGTCAGTAGAGTCAGCTTCCTCCTTGAGCAGGGGGCCATGTGGCCCACTGGAGCCTTTGAGTGTCCGAGCTCAAGATTGACAGGGGTGCTTCACTTCTCTGGATTTCAATAAAGATGCTGTCCTGGCAATTGTGAGGGCAGCAATCAGGGGGTTGACACTTCAGTCAGTGGTAGGTAGTGTTCTCCCTGTCCTGCCATTTTAGATGTGGGCTCAGAGGCATCACCATGACAGGTGAAAGCAATTGTAATGGTCCCTTCCAGAAAAGTGGCTATTGGACCCACAGGAGTTCTGTGTGTTAGGGTCACCTTAACTTTTTAATGCCATTCATGTGTCCTTTATCACTTGCCAAGGCTAAGTGTCAGATCCTACAAGGAGAACTGATGAGAACAGGGAGAATGTATTGGAAGAGTCCCTGGTCCAATGTCATTCCGTCCCTGTCACTTAATGCTTTGTTAGCTATGGGCAGGACCAGTGAGATGGCTCTTTGGATCAGGACGCTTTCCAAGGTAATAACCTGTATTTGATTCTAATCCCCGGCTTTCCAAGCTAATAACCCTAATAACCTGAATTTGATTCTCACTCCCCAAATCTACGTGATGGAAAGAAAGAACTGACTCCCACAGGTTGTCCTCTGACCTCTGCTTGGGCACCATGGCATATGTGTGTGCTCTCCCCCAGACATATACATAAGAGAAATAGTGTAATAAAAATCTAAGCTCTTATCTATAAGCAGAAACAAGAATGGGGGGCAGTACATAGGATTAGCCAGTGCTGGCCTGGCAAGACTGTGCTGACAGCAAGACTGTGTAGCTGGAAGATGACTCGTAGGGGAAGGGTTAGTCACATAAGCATTAGGGAAACAGCACAGGAGGGTGCTGGTGGCCAGCCTAGCCAAATCTGTGAAGTTTGGTAAAAGTGAGAAACCCTGTCTCATAAAACCTCCTACAAGTTGACCTCCATACCTAGGCACATGCGCACATACTAAATAAGCAAATAAACAAATCAAACATTACATTAAAAAAAAAAACAAAAGAGAAATCAACTGAGAAGGACACCTCTGGCTGACCCCTAGACTCCACACATCATGTGTACCCCCAAACAAAGGTCTATACAAAAAGAAAACATAATGAGTTAACTATATAATAAACGCCTGAAGTATTTAAAGGTTTTGATTTCTTTATTGTGTGTGTACACATGTGCACGTGAGTATACATGCCATAGTGTACTCCTGCTGGCGTGGGTCTCAGGGATTAAACCCAGTCCTAAGACTCAGCAGTAAGATGTCTTACCCACTGAGCCATGTGGCTGGCCCTGTGTGTCTTTTCAAAAGTGAACATAGCCATGTGTCAAACATAGTATTGTTAATCTCAGACTTGAAATTGACACAGTCATGTTAACAATGAATGAGACACTGGGCATATTGCATGAAATCTTGTAGTTCAAGGTCTGTTGAAGGGAGCTGCCCATCACAGAAGCAGTCAGGGGCAGAAATGGGGTAAGATGCCTGTTGCTCTGAAGGGTGGCTTAGCTCTGTACAGCTGGCTTGAAGTAGCTGGTGTTAGGTCTTCATTGCTCAGGCTAACCATATCAGTTACAGATGGTACCATGAGTCACGTGAGAGGGTCAGCTGGAGAGGTGGCCCCGTGGGTGCTAGAGTGACTAGTACATGCAAATAAGAAAAGCCAAGACATCCGGAGCCTAGTGCTGTTCTAGGCTAATGCTATCCTAATCCTAAGGCAGGCTAATGCCATCCTAGGCTAAGGCTATCCTAGGCCCAATACTATATCCTAGGATATTGGACAAATTATGTATTTAGTTGAGGGAGAAGGGTTGTTTTGTTTGTTTACTGAAACAGGTCTCATGTACCTCCAATTGCCTTTGACACTGAGGATGAAGGATAGTACTGAACTTCTAATCCTCTTCCTCTATCCCAGGAGAGCACAGTAACAGGCAATTCTACCACACTTTGTGTATGTAGTCAGGAATGCTAGGCTAGCACTCCCTCAGCAGAGCCACATCCCCAGCCCCCTGCTTCCTTAGTGTTCCATTGAGAACAGAGTGTGTGCCTTGCCTTTGCCTCTGCCTGTGTGGTTTCAGAGCCACAGGTAAGATACATATGAAAGTCCATACTTAAGAGTACACAGAGCCAGCCTGCCGCTGCTGTGCAGAGTGAGCGCTCCCCTTGGCTCTGGCTTTCCTCATGCTATTGTTTTGAAGTCTTTTCTTAGAAGAATCCAATTTCCTGTCTTGAGTCATTGGCTCTGTCACTGGTAACTGTGGAGAACAGCAGTTAAGCGCAATTATGCAGTGTTATTATAATGGGAGAGCGTGGTGGGAATTAAATTACACTCAGTCCCAGGTTCAGGGGCTCATTCTCCTTTTCATTTCTGTATAAGTCTGGCTTGTGTTATTTATAGTTTGCTGTTTGTATAGACAATGGGAGTGAACTAAGGGATATCTGTGGTAGGACTTTGAGAGCAGCTCTGAAGCATAATGCAGATATTTTCTGCAAAACATGAGATGGGCCGGTGAGATAGCTTAGTGGGAAAGGGGGCTTGCTGCCAAACCTGAGAGAACCGACTCTCACAAGTTGACCTCTGACCTCTGTATGCACAAGTGTGATCACACATACAATAAATGCATGTTTAAAAAAAATGAGATTATTTGTGTTTCACAGGTACATGAAACTTTTTCATAAAGAAAAGTAAACTGATGCTCAGGAAGCTGGATTATCTCCAGGAAAAGATCCTAACTGTAGTAAAGTGCTACTGTTTGAAGGGGCTTATCATTGGGTTGGGTCAGCTAGGAACAGGCATATGCTGTCACAGTGACCACTGGTCCACATGCGGAGCCATCTTAGTAGTCAGGAAGGACATTTATTGGGGGTGAAATGACAGATCAGGCCATCAGAAGGTGAACACTAGCGATTATTGAACATGTACTACATGCCACATATTTTGTTCAAGATAGATAGATGATAGATAGATAGATAGATAGATAGATAGATAGGATAGATAGCTATAGATAGATAGATAAGATAGATAGATAGATAGATAGATAGATAGATAGATAGAGATAGATAAGATAGATAGCTATAGATAGATAAGTCACATACGTACATACATACATACGCACTGTGATGGTCTGTATATGCTCGGCCCAGGGAGCAGCACTACTAGAAGGTGTGGCCCTGCTGGAGTAGGTTGGCCTTGTTGGAGTAGGTGTGTCACTGTGGGTGCGAGCTATAAGACCCTCATCCTAGTTGCCTGGAAGCCAATATTCTGTTAGCAGCCTTCAGATGAAGATGTAGAACTCTCTGCTCTGCCTGCACCAGGCCTGCCTGGATGCTGCCATACTCTCATCTTGATGATAATGGACTGAACCTCTAAACCTGTAAGCCAGCCCCAATTAAATGTTGTCCTTACACAAGTAGTTGCCTTGGTCATGGTGTCTGTTCCCAGCAGTAAAACCCTAACTAAGAAGTGTATATTCAACCAGAATGTGTGCCTTATAAAATAAATCTATATTTATTATATATCATATGTTGATAACATACACCAGGGATGTACCTGTAGATCTACCTGCTCTGCAGGCTGAAGCAAGAGGCTCTCTTGAGACTTGAGACAAGGAGTTCATTCAAGGCTAGCATAGATAATAAGCAAAACACTGTCTTAAAAGAGGGGGAACAAGCTCTAATAATTTTTAAAGTCAGCAAAAGGTACAAATCTTTGTTTTCCATTTGCAAAAATATGGCTTCCTACTTTTCAACACAGCAAAAATATTTTTAAGGTTAAACATAACTATTATGTGAATATATATCCTTATTATGATAACATAATAAGGTGTGTCGTTCTGTGTCTGCTTGTTTCTGTTGTTCCTTGCTTAAGTAAGCTACATGTGTTAGTTTGCTTTGTGTTGTTACAATAAAACACCCTATCAAAAAGTGAGAGAGGGTTTATTAAGGTTGCAGTTCCAGGTCGCATCCCATCATTATAGGGAGGTCAAGGCAGGAACTTAGAGCAGCTAGTCACAGCCAGGCAGAGCAGAGGGAATGAGCATGCGTGCTCAGCTTGCAGCCAGCCTTCTCTGCCCATGAAATGGTGCTTACCTGGAGTGAGGTTAAAAATAGACATATTCCTCATGGTTGTGACCACAGGTTGAACTGATCTGGACAATTCCTTATTGAGAGTCTCTACCCAGGTCATTCTAGATTGTGTCACATTGACAATTAAAACCAACAATTACAGTATTAAATCTGGAATTAAAGGAACATATTGTTAAAATGACCTTAGCTAAGTTCCTGAGCACCTGTATACAAAGCTGGATGTAGCAGCACATGCATTGTCATCCCAGTACTCTGGAGCTAGAGGCAGGGTCAGAAGTTCAAGGCCATCCTCAGCTGCTGAAGGAGGAAAGGGAAGGAAGGGAGGGAGGGAGGTAGGGAAGGAGGGAAGGAGGAAGGAAGGACACAAGCGCATAGGCAAGTTGTGTCAGTAGCTTCTGCCCTGGCCGTGGGACCTTTTCCCTTTCTTGGTACGTGAGGCTCATTGTCACCACCTCGTTGCAGGTGGTAGAGACAGCTCCAGCATGGCCTCGCATCTGATTTTTCCTAAACCTTGGGCTCTAGTTTCCTGTCTGTTATGCTGACAAAAAAAGCAAATGAGGAGATTAAGAGTTTGTTTGGCTTAAACTTCCAGGCTACAGTCTCTTGCTGTGGGGCACTCAGGTCAGGACCTGGGGCAGCTGCTCTCATCACAGGAAGAGCAGAGAGGAGAGCACACGGTAGTGCGCGGTACACAGCCAGCTCTCTCCTCTCTCACAGTCCAGGCGCCATCCCCAGGGAATGGTACCACCCACTTTCACACTCAGTCTTCTCACATCCATTAGGGCAATCAGGACAGTCCCCCCCAGACATGCTCACAGGCCAGCCTGATCGAGACCCTTCCCACCCAGGTGATCCTAGCTTGCCTTAAGTTGAAAATTAGAATTATCACACCTAGACTCTATTCTGCTGCCCCTGATGTGAGGTAACCAGGTGGGTGCCCCCATCCTGTAGTAAAGGTCTACTCCCCTGGAATGGCTGGAGGCACCCAACCACAGTCTGGGGGACCTCTCATGTTCCACACCTTGCCTTTCTTGTCCCCTCAGGATGCTTACAAGCCCCGGCGAAAGTACAGACGGCAGCAGGGAGCAGAGGAGCTGCCGGACGAGGAGTCCCGAGTCCACTCCACGCTTTTGGAATATGGCAGGTATGGAGTGGGTGCTGGCTAGCACTGGGGCTAGAGTGCTCACTTAGAGGGCTTGCCGTGCAGCACAAAGAACTGGGTCCAGTCCCCAGCACCACATAAAAAAGCCCAGAGTGGAGGTACACACTTGTTATCTCAGTGAGGAGGTGGAGACAAAGAGAGAGATCCTGGGGTTCTCTGGCCAGAAAGCCTAAACTGATCCTACTGAGTAAGAGCCAAGTCTCGGGAAGACCTTGCCTTGCCTTGCCTTCCTCTGTCCTGAGGAAGAAGGTTGTTCTCTGCCTTCCACTTCCTTGTGTACATACAAAAAAGAATATATAGAATAGATTTTGGATGGATAGATAGATGGATGGATGGATGGATGGATGGATGGATGGATGGAAGATAGATAGATAGATTGATTGATTGATTGATTGATTTATAGAATATATCTCTATCTAAATAAAGGCTTTTTGAGCTTACTAGTCGTCTCCCATCCTCAGGGGTGCTTTTCCTTTCTTAATAAATTGTCTCTATTCCTAAAAGGGAGGAAGGGAGGGAGGGAGGAAGGGAGGGAGGGAGGGAGGAAGGGAGGGAGGGAGGGAGGGAAGAAGAAAAAACAAGCCAACAATTAATTTCTTGTTAATTAAAATTGGACAGCTGCTAGAGTGGTGGGGTATGGAGTGGTGGTGGGTGGCAGAGGCAGGCGGATCTCTGAGTTTGAAGCCAGGCTGCTCTATAGAGTGAGAGCTCCAGGCTGGCTAAGGCTACATGGTGAGGTGTTTCAAAAAAGAAAAAAAAGGGAAGAAAAAAAAGGAAAGAAAGCTAGCTAGCTCCTGCCTGATTGAGTCCACGGTCTGCAGCTGTGACTTTCAGGTTGCTGCTCTGTGCCCACCTTTGTAGTTCTCTGGAAATGGGTGCTTCTGTGCACAGACTCTGACCTCCTTGGGGAGCTGGTGCAGAGGCCAGGGCTGGAGTGCATCCTCTGACCCTCTTTTTAAACAGCCAGTCCACAGAGCATGTGCAGCCAGCTCACTGTGCCCTGCAGTCATCCTTCAGGGCAAAGGTCGATCTGAATAGAAGAATGAAAGCCTTAATAGTAAGCCTTAGTTCTTGTTAAAATTATTTGTCCTGGAAAAAGAGTTTTACTTTATAGCCTCACTTTAAACACTTGGTCAACACTGGATAGTAACCTTGCCCATGTCCTTGCCGTTGTCTACCCAGGGTGACCGATCCTTTGATGTGAGTATGTGCCTGTGCTTCCTGCCCTTGTGTGGAGATAGTGTTCGGAACCTTGTGTGGCTGACACTAACTCTGTCTCGCTAGCATCTCCCTGTGTGTCTCATGGCGCCTTCCTCTGGGAAACAGTGGTAAACAGGAAATTAGCCTTAGCTGTTCCAGCTTTTCAAGGAAAGGCATTACATTAGTGTGTGTGTGTGTGTGTGTGTGTGTGTGTGTGTGTGTATGTGTATGTGACAGAGAGACAGAGAGAGATGAGAGTTGTGTGCAATCCATGGCCTGTTTGTGTAGAAGTCAGCAGACAACTTACAGGGGTCAGTTCTCTCCTTCCACTTCCATGTGGGCTTTAGGGATCGAACTCAGGTCTTCGAGCTTGCATGACAAGCACCTTTACCCACTGAGCCATCTCACCTGCCTTTCGTGGTGTAATGTTATTTGGCTTTGTCTGTTTGCTTGTTTTGAGGTGATTCTCTGATATTGTCTCTTTCCCACAAATTAAACTAGTGTGTTTCAAAAGCTACTGAGTTAGTTTGTTCTGGTCTTAAATTATATGTGATGGCCCTTCTCCCAGCTCATCTTCTGGTGCTGAGAATTGAATATGTTTTTCCAGTTCAGAGGCTATTCATACCAGGGGCATTATTTTGACAAGGGCCAGGGACTGTACAAAATTAAAGTGCATGTCCCTTGTTAAAAATTGTTAACAAAGGCCTGGAGAGGTAGACCATTTGGTAAAAGTCCGTGCTTTACCAACCTGGGGACTGAATTTCAGTCCCCAGAACCCACAGTACAAAGCCGCCTGTGGTTGGCATTCGCTTGTAACTCCAGGTCTAGAAAGGCAAAGGCAGACACATCCCTAGGGCTCACTGCAGCCAGCCTAGTCTAACAGGTGAGCTCCAGGCCAGTCCAAGACCCTGTCTTAAAAATGAGGTGGTCACACACGTACACATACTCACACACTCACACACACTCACAAATGAGAAAGGACTTTGAGGAAAGCATAGTGTGGCCTCTGTCTATACTGGGGAGGAACTGACTCATGGGATTCAATCACTCAGACTCCAGATTATGACCTGCAACCGCAGACTTAAGTCACCCCAAATCCAGTTTCAGAGTGGAAGCAGTTTCATATCTTAAATCCAGACACTTTTCATACACACTTGTGGAAATTTTAGGTGGGCCCAGGGTTACAGCACACTTAGAGAAGTCATAGCCAGAGGCCTTGGGTATCATCTCATGACTCTTACCCTTTTGGTTGGTGGGAAAAAAAGTTAAGTACTTTATTCTTGAATCAAACACAAGTTACTAAGGCCCTGGAACATAAATTTAGGTTGCCCAAAATAGCATATTTCCGCATGGAAATGGTTTCCTGAAACTACAAAACAAAAGGCTTTTTTATTTTTTATTATTATTATTATTTTTAGCTACATTAGGCAGATGTGTTAACAAACCAAGGAGGTGTGCTGTGGACAGGGATGCTGCTGTCTGGTGACATTCTTAGCTGTCGGGTTAGTGGAAGTGTGTGGCAATGCTAAATTCATTTCAACAGGTTGTATCAGATTAGAGGTGGACAGTGAATGACTATTAAGTGGGTTAAGGATATCACCAAAGTAGTTTGTCTCTGAATCATCAACATTCCAACTCTCGACAATCTCAGACTTCTAGGTCTACCTTGTGAAATGTTAACTCTGATGTGGCTTTTCCTGTTAATTGACAGTACTGACTAATCCACAGAGGCTGCAATGAAGGCCTTTCAGGATTGAGTGGAGACCCAAACTTTAGCCTTAGGTTGAATTCCCTATTCTTTGGCTCACTGCCCAGCAATGTCTGTTTTGGTGTTTTCCAGTTCTATTGCAAAGTTAGACAATGCTTATGACATCGTACTTTCTGCATTGTCTTTCATTTGTATTTTTTCATTCAATGAACATTAGAAACTGAAACTGTGGAAGCAGCAGCATCCACCAGAAGTGTACAGATTGGCCATGACTGACATAGTGGGGCCGTGTGTGGGGGTGCTAGAGGGACAGATCTTGGCTCTGTGTGTGTGCACTTGGACAAGTGGAAGCTTTGGAGACATGTGTTAGAGCCGAGAGGCAGATGAAGGGAGAGAACTGGTCAGACTGTAAGGCTCTAGGTGGACAGTAGATGGAGCAAGAGCTGCTCGTATGAGGCAGAGCAGGACCTTGGAGGAGGGAGCTGGCCAGCTGCTGCTTAGGAGCCAGCAGTGCATCTTGCTAAAGAGAGATTGGGTGGGCTCGGTGGAAGAGCAGGAGGGGGGAAGCTGCAGACCCTAGACCAGTGAGAGCCACACACTGATCCCACGGGCAAGGCGCGTCCTGAGCAGGGCAGAGCAAAACCTTACTTTGTTCTTTTTTTCTTAAACGCTTGCATGCAACTTTATTCTGAACTAAGATCTTCGAGGCTGGTTGTTCATATTACATCTTTTGTTTCGGGTTGAGTCTTTTTTGTGTGTTATTGCATTTGCTTTAGAAAAAAAAAGCATAGTTTGTTTTAAGCCAGAAAATAAACTAACTGAAGCTGAAATGCATTGCGTACCTCTAAATATAAGCTCTCCTAAAGTGAGGTCACATGACTGACATGTGTGAAAATAAAATATGGGCGTGGCTTAAAGTAATATTAAAGTCTGCATTGGCCTTAAATACATTGTCTGTTTGCACAGATGTTTTCAAGGTTTTAGCTTGCAGTGTGGTTTTGAGGTGCAATTCCTGATCCAAAGAGAATGAATACCCTTAAAGGACACTCTGTACTGTCTTAGCGTTCCTGTGTGTAGCATCTGAACAGCAGATGCCATGACTGGCCGTATTCAGAATCTGATAGATTATGTTTCTGGGGAAGGCACGTGGAATATAAGCACTGAATATCTTAAACCCTTTTCATATTCTATGAAAAGCCATCTGAGGAGAAGGCCTACACAGTAAAGTGCTTGCCACACAAACCTGGGGGCCTGAGCCCCATCCCAGCACTGTGTAAAAGCCAGTTGTCAGGGTGTGCACCTGTAATCCCCGTCATGGGATGCAGAAGCAAGAGCATCCCTGGGGCTTGCTGGCCAGCCAGGCTAGCTACATTGGTGAGCTCCTAGTTCATTGAGAGATATTGTCTCAGAACAATTTTGGAAGTGACTGAGGGAGACATCCAATGTTGTTTGCCAGCCTCTGCACTCATGCATACACAGACACACACATACATACATACATACATACATATATACATGCATACACACACACACATACACACACATTCACACAGAGGATCCAATAAAAAATGCACTTGTTGGAATTTATTGAGATTTGTGAATAGTAATTAAATTCTTTGTCATGGCTTACAGGAGATACGGATTTAGTCGCCAGAGCAAAACAGAGAAGGTAAGACGTACCTAGATGGGGAGGTGGCAGCCGCACCACTGCAGGCAGGGTAACGGGTGCTGCTGATCAAGCACCAGGCCCTGGGCAGGCAGGGGTCCTGGGAGTGTACCAGCCACCTTTGTCCCCTGCTTGTTCGTCTTGGTATCTCTAACCTTCGGCCTCTGCAGGCCAGGGACAGAAGCATCCCAGAGCTACAGAGCAAGGATGACTGAAGTCCAGCTGATAGGTGTGATGCTGTGTCAGACAGGCCTCACCAATCCTGACTGGCCTACCTCAGAAGCTGGAACTTGGCCTGGAGCCCCTAGATTATCCGTTCTCTTTCGGTCCGGCCCCAGATATGTTTTCTTTCATGAGCTACCCCTCTGTAAGCCTGTCTTATTTCTGCTGAGTCTCCAACTCTGATGCTCAGCTGTTTTCTCATCTTCCCTTCTAGGCTGAGGACAAGAAAACAGTGCTTGCTGCAGGCTTGTCAGCTGGAGAGAAAACGGATGTTCACGAGGAGGATGAGCTTCAAGCAGCGGAAGAGGTGTGTGGCATGTGGTGGCCCTCGGAGGTTCGAGTTTGTGTCATTTGAGGGGAGAGTTAGCTCTCACCCACAGCTATCTCAAGCTGGCTTCCACTCACAGTTCCCTTTTTTTTTTTTTGAAATGTTATGAGGTTCACCATTAACCTTCCTTAAAGCAGCAGCTCTGAGGTTTCACCACAGAGACCTGGGCAGGCGCTTGCTTCAGTCTCACACAGTCGGTCAGAACACTCATCACTGTTGTCTTCCTCTTTCAGCAACGTATTCAGTCACTGATGACCAAGATGACCGCCATGGCAAACGAGGAGGTGAGGGCTAGCAGGGAAGGGGGTTATGCAGGGGAGATGCAGAGATGGAGACTTGGCCCCACCCCAGTCTGTTTTAGGGGCCTGAGGCAGGGGAACACCATCTTCAGAGCCCTCTGTCTTCAACAGGAAGCTTATTATAATGCCTAGCACTCTTATCAGGGCCTTCTCAGAAGGAGAGTTAAGGTACCTGTTGGGGCAATATGTTCCTGCAGGGGTAGCGTGCTGACCTCTATGGAAGAGCAGGGGTCAGGCCTGCTTCTCTGTAACTATGGGAACCCCTGTCTTCTTCTGAAACCCAGCTATCTAGGAAATGAAATCCTAAATTGCCAGGGAGCCCTCTCACAGGTCAAGGCCTGCCCAGAAGGATTAACAATGTCCTTGGATGTGTTCATTTCTTTCAAGACTGGGAAAGACCTGTGGGAATAAAGAGATAGTTTAGGGCCTCTGAGTCCTTTCTCTTTCTCATCTGTGAGCCTCAGGGCCTCAAAGGTCCGGACGTGAGGGTGGAGATGAAGGAATCCTAGGGGTACCCTGGGTCTGAAGGAAAGCTAATAGAGGTAACTAGTACCTGAGGGGAAGTTAGAAAGGATACCCAAGGCCCAAGGCCAGAGAGGAAGTTACCATAGCCACTAAATGACTTGAGAGAGAGTTGTGGTTCCAGGGCCCAAGGAAGCTAACACAGCCAGCTGAGTGACTCTGGAGATAGGAGAGGTGGGACAAGCCTCGTGGGTGAGTCAGAGGTCAAAACCAAGTGACTTCCCTGGGGCAGTGCGGTATATTTTGTATTTAGACTCAGTTCTGTGATGGGCACATGTCCCTGAGAATATACCTCATGTGATTGCAGAGCCGTCTCACTGCAAGCTCCGTGGGCCAGATCGTGGGTCTCTGCTCTGCCGAGATCAAGCAGATTGTGTCTGAGTATGCAGGGAAGGTATGTTACTGCCTGCCAGCGCCTGGGCCTCAGGCCACACCCACAGCTTTGTCCTATGCTTCTCAGCCCTTCCGCTGTAATCAGAGTCTAGTGGGAATTCATCAGCCACATTTGTCAGAAGCACTGGCACCAGGCTTGCCTGTGCACAGCCATCTATGCTTGCCCCGGAGTTAAACTTGTTTGGTTCCAAGGTGCCCGTTTTTTTTTCTATAAATATTAGGGAAAAGTCTGTCTTGAAATAGTGGTCACGTCTAATATGTCACCATCTGCAAGTCTAGGCAGTCATCTTTCCTGCCCTGTCAGACTGCTTATAACTCAGGCTTGGTTTGGCAAATGGGCTGAGGTATGGCGCTTTTTGCCTTTTAGGAGATAAACTCCATAACTCAGCCAAGCCCAATGCATAAGTTTTTGCTGGACATTTTATTATTAAAAGTGTGTAGGATGAGCAAAAGCCTCAGTCATATTTCAGTGTTACTTTTTTCCCCATCCTAAGTGTAGGCCAGGATGTTATTTAAATATTTCAGAGATGGAGTGATGACCATTTTTTAAATAGCTTTACTTTTTTATTTATTATTGTTATGTTTGGGGGGCATACATGTCGAGGTCAGAGAACAGCTTTATGGAATAGATTCTCTCTTTCTACCTTTATGTGGGTTCCAGGGTTGAACTCAGTCAGGTCATCCTCCAGAGCAAGCACCTTCCCCTACTGAGCCAACTGGCCAGCCCAGTAATGAATCCTTTTGCACATAACTGAGTCTAGTGTGGCTGCACCTTGGCCTGGGAAAGAGATGATTTACAAGGCTTTCCTGGTTTTTTCATTTCCTGTTGCTGTGATAAAATGCCCCATGAAAGCAACTTCCGGGAGAAAGGGCTCACAGTTCCAGTTTAGTGTCCATCATGACTGGGAGATGGAGTCAGGAGGAATGTGAAGCAGCTGGTTGCAGCACAGTGAGAGCAGAGAACAGTCAGTTAATGCAAGCATGCAAGTGCCGGGCTCCCTCTCCTGTTCCTTCTGCCCCGGCCCCGGCCCATGCAATGTTTGTTGCCTGTGTACTTTCCCCATTCAACCCAACTACGATATTCTCTCACAGCCGTGCCCACAGGCTCACCTGATCTAGACAGATCCTCACTGAGCCTCACTTCCTGGGTGATTCTAGACTGGGTCTAGTTTGCAATTAGAACTGACATCAGAAGGGTCAGTTTGCTCATCCCTCCTTCCTCGGCTGCACCGTTAGCTCTGGTTGTTTTGCCTCAGATTCCTTCAGGACAGAGTAGTTCCCTCTGCCCTCTGCGCCTTGAGCTCTAGTAGTGACTGTGAAGGTGCTGTGCTTGGGGATTGCTCTCCCCTAGGGCCCAAAGTGACATCTCCAAGGCATGGACCTTCGGAGCAGGAATGTCTAGGGTGTGTTTCCTCGTTTCCCCGTCAGCCAAGTGCATGCTTCGAAACATGGGTTTTTCTATCCAGCTCTCATGGACTCCAAAAGGTCTTGTCCCTCCATGTGTCGCCTAGAAAGGGGAACACTGGCATATCATCAGAGATTGAACCAAGAGAGGTTTTGCCTACTGTAAATATACAGTAAACTCAAAAGATTGCAATTCATAGTTGTAAAAGGGGAATGAAAATCACTGCCCCAGAAGTGTCCTGGTCTCCCGTCAGTCATTCTGAGTAGCTTCCCCACCACTGTGGAGAAGGCTGTAAGTCTGTTGCAGTCCTAGACTGCCTGTAATGAGCTTTAGTCGGAGCTTTCAACAGGAAGAAGAACTAGATATTTCCACTCTGTATGTGTATAAATGGATTTGTGTGTCAGTTTCTGTGTGTATATGTCTGTGTGTGTGTGTGTGTGTGTGTGTGTGTATTTATGTGTGTGCATGTGTCTGTGTCTCTGTGTATATGTTTACATGTGTGTCTGCATATATGTTTGTATGTGTTTGTGCGCGTATGTGTGTCTATGTGTATATATGCCTGCTTGTATATTGCCTGTGGAGGCCAAAGGTTGAAAACGACTTGTGAGATTTGGTCCTCTCCTCCCATCCTGTGGATCCCAGGAGTTGAGCATAGATTGTCAAGCTTGGCTACAGGCATCTTTACCGCCTGAGCCAGTTCACTGGCCCTCCACTAAATCCCTTATTGCGATGAATACTTTAACTAGATTTCACTGATTCTGCTGTGTGAGTCTGTCCTGGCTTTTCCATTTGTACCCACTTACCCTACTACTGTTGTCAAATACCATCTTTGTTTCACTGTGACACTTAAGCTTTGCCCTGCTTTTGTGTTTTCTATCTAACTTAAAATACAAATGGCCCTTTGCTTTCTTATGTGTTTGCTTCAGGTTCCATCAGGAAACCTTGCTGTTGCTGTGTTTGCTTCTGACTGTCTTGTTGTTGCCTCCAGCCAAAGACTGGTTGTGTCTAACCTGGACCCCACTTGTAGGTCGAATTGGGTTTATGGCTGCATGTGATGAGGAAGGTCACACCTCTGTGGAGTTGCACAGCAGCTAGTTAAGATGGTGTTGTGTTGGATGCTACAGGAAGGGCCTGTAACCTTGACTCTCAACACAGGCTCACATACCCTTGCTTCTTTGTCTTCTTGTCTCAGCACCATAGGTTGGCTTGGAACTGGGCTCTGGTGTCCTCTAAGATTGGCATTGCTGTTATCAGTTTTATCGGGAGATGATAGTCAGAGATGAAGACCAAGTGTTCTAGGGAGACCCCATCAGTGCCATTTAAGAAGAGCCCAAGCTGAACTGTTACCTATATGCATTTTTCTTTAGTGAGGAGAAAGGACCAAACCACTTTCACAGGGTAAAATATAAAAAAGATTTTTGCAAACAAGGAATAAATTGAACAGCCTGTGTGGAGCAAGTGCTTAAAGGAAAAGTGCTGGGCTTTGGGATCTAAAAGTGAGGAAGAAATAAGAAAATAGATGTCAGACTCAGCTTTCAGTTTTAAGGTTCACAGGTTCTTCTGACAGTGTGATGTGATGAGTAACCCATGTGTTTCAAATCTGTCTGTGAGATAGCTAACTCAATTTACTATGGTTCCTGTAAGGCTGCAGGTTGGGGGCAGGGGGGTGACAAAGCATTTGTGGTCGTAATCCATGAGCATACGGAGGCTTTGGGCTCAGTAGCCCCATCTCCCTGTTCCTACCTGACACTCTCAGAATGCTCTAGAAGGCCTGACTGAGCTTTTCACTATTGATGTCTAACTTTCCCAGGATTGCAGTCTTTGCTTTAACCGAGAGGAGCCTCTTACTGTGATTTGCAGACAACATAACAGCTTGACTGTCCAAAACTACTCTGACTCCACTAATCCCAGGGCCTTTTCAGAAGCAGCCAGGCCAGGGCATGTGCAGGAATGCTGCTGCTAAGTCACCACTTGCCATTTTGACACCATGGTGCTTAGCCAACTAAGGCGGCCTTAGCTGATATGTCTATGAGAGGTCCTGGTGGGTCTTCTAGAGGATTGTGCAGGTCTGAAGGTGTAGGTGATCTGCCTTCTGGAAACAGAATCTGCATGCCTTCTTGTGTAGGTATTTTGTACACTTTTAATTCATGACTTTTTATATGTGTGTGTACATGATGTGTGCACAGTGTACATGTGGAAGTCCAGTGATGACGTCAGCAGTCTGTCTTCACCTTCTACGTTGTAAGAAAGCCTCTCTTGTGCTTTGCTGAGATCTAGGCTTGCTGGCCCATTCACTTCCAGAGCGTTCTTCTGTTTCCACCTGTAGGAATGTTGATCCATCTCCCCAGCCCAGCATTCTTTTTAATTCTAAAAGTTTATTTCATTATTTCTCTTTATTACACTTTTATTTACTTGTGTGTGTTTGTATGTATGGGAGCAAGGAGAGTGCATGCCATGGCTTATTTGTGAAGGTCAAAGACAACTTTCTAGGCTTGGATCTCTCCTCCCACCATGTGGGTCCTAGGGTTGAATTCATGTTGGGCATAGTGGCAAGTGCCTTTACTCAGTGAGCATCTCGCTTGCCCGAGATAATTTGATTCTTCCAAACTGTCTTCTTGCTTAAGACCTTCTGCCTCCCTCCCTCTTCATACGTATTTGTCCTTGTGTGTTGCTGTCAAAGTGGACCACATTCTGTTGTCCAGTTGGGCAACTCACTGACCAAATACTGCAGTTGTTGGTGCTGGGGAAATAAGTATTTAATGTAATATACATTTGCAGATGAAGAAAGTGTAGGTTATGGAGGCTCAGTCTGCATTCCTATGCAGCTCTAGTACATTCCTGGTTCAAATGCAGGACTGCCTGCCTTTACAGCCTGTTTAGCCAGCTGGAGGGTCACGTGGAGGGTGGGGATGGAAATGTATGTGCGGTCCATAGTCCTTCCGAGCCTGCAACCACTTTGTGCCTCCTCAGGCATGTGCACCTCCACCGGCTGCCTTCGCACTGTGTTGGAAAGGATGAGGGTGGTAGGTACGGCTCGCTCAACACAAGCCTTCTGGGCACAGAAATTTCTTTTATCCTCACCACCACTACCATTGTCATCGTCATTATCATCATCGTGTGTGGGTGTGGGTGTGGGTGTGGGTGTGTGTGTCTGTCTGTCTGTCTGTCTGTCTGTGTATGATGATAGGCACACATGCATGTTCTACGTGTAAAGTCAGAAGACAACTTTGTGGAGTTGATTTTCTTTTTCCTTCTTTAATAAGCCATGGCATGCACTCCCTTTGCACCCATACACACAACAACCACACAGGAATAAGTAAATGGGGATCAAACTCAGGTTGGGCTTGAATGGCAAGGACATTTTACCAGTGGGCCATCTTGTTGGCCCTTGGAAACTATAGGCGTTTCTTCTGGGGTATCCAGTGACTTTTCATGTCACCATACAACACATTATGATATTTTAAAATAGCTCTTTTTAAAATATAGTATTTTAGGCCAAAGAGATAGCTCATCCAATAAAGGCACTTGCTACCAAGTCTGAGGATCATGGGGGAAGGAGAAAACTGGCTCCCGCAGGTTGTCTCCCGGTCTCCATA